GTTGGTCGCCGGTCTGCCCACCTTGCGGGCACGGGTGTCAGTTCCGCTCCGCCCCCACTCCAATTTGGGTCACTTGACCACCACACAGGCGGGCCGCTGGGCCTGATTTGGGAGCGGGCGAAGGCTCTGCTCTGCCCCTACTCCAGTTGGGGTGAAGTGTGTACCACGCTGGCAGGCCGCTGGGCCTGATCCGCCGGTCTGTTGCAGGTCTGCTTACCTTGCCAGCGCGGGCGGCGGCTCTGCCCTGCCCCTCCTACCACGCCTGCAGACCGCTGGGCCTGATCTGCAGGTTGGTCGCAGGTCTGCCTACCTTGTGGGCGCGGGTGGTGGCCCCGCTCCTCCCCTCTGGCTCGACGACAAAGCGAGAGAGACTCGGGTATCTGTGACTCACCCTCCCTACCAGGGGACCAACTGTTTCCGTCGCCGCTGGCACCGATGAAGTTCTCTCCTCGGCCGCTCTCCGATGACATCAGATCTCTGCCATGCTGGCATCCCCTGTTCTATGGCTGAATCCCATTTTCTTCTCTTCCAATAGGCGGAGCTGTGCCCTCTGAGCCGAGCTTCTGCCCTCTATGTGCTGACAGAAATCCCTGTACGGTGGCTCCTGGGAGTCTCTCAATCCTGTTAGTCCAGAGCCCTTTCACTTATATGGCCCCTCCCCCTGTTCCTCCTCCCAGCCAGCCAGCCAGGTCCTGTTCACCAGAGGCGGTTCCCCAAGGATCTGATTACACTTGCAGCCCCACCGCGTGTCCTATATCCTGAACGATGAACACCCTCTCTGTCATTCATCTAAGCCCCAGTGCTGTGGTGGGGTGATCTGGGAACCAACAGTTTAATTTTTTGGTGATGTCACCTCTCTGCTATGGCGGGCCCCAGGCTCCTTGCCAGAGTGTCCAAAGGGAGGGGTGGGACTGGTCTGTCTCTGGTTGGTTTCAGCTCCCGGTTCGCTATTTCATGAAGGCTTGGCGAGAGACCTCTTCCTAGAGTCCCTGCACCGCTCCTGCTGCGCTGCGCCTCAGAGGCTATCTGCCCTGATGCGGGGGCCGGTGCAGGCAGCCGACAGTCGCCGAGTCGCGCGGGCAGCGGCTGGCGGGTCTGGACCGACCTCTGCACTGCGTGGCGGAGATTCACTCGTCTAGCGCAAACTGTCACCTCCAAAAATCCTACCGATTCCCGGCCGGTCTCTCTTTAGTGGAATTTTGCTAGGAGTTTCTCAGCAGGTCGAATCTAAGCGTATCCATGCGTCTCTCTGACTCCGTTGTTGAGGAGGTACTGAAAGTGCTGCCTCCCCTCTCGCCGCCATGTTGGATCCCCCCCTAGTTCACAGCACTTTGTTCCCAATGGTAGTATCAAAATATATTCTTTTAGAATTGATAATAATATTTATTGTGTTCTTAAGCAAGATTAAAATCACTGGACTTTGGATCTCTTGCCTGCAAGTGGCATAATAATGTCCCCATTGAAAGAACTGTGAGTACCTCAGATGAAACAGCTGGTATGAAAATATCTGGGAAAGCTAAGGGTAGAACATGCAATGTAAGTTATGATTATCATTACTATCATTATTGGCCTTTTCTCTCCACATGCCTCAACTGTTTTCTAGAATTGTTTATAGAAGACAAAGTCACAAAATCCAGTCTACTGGGAAGTGATTATTTTCCTCTTCACTTTTTCAATAAATCAAACAATTACATTCCAAATTACTGAACATTTAAAGGTTTCCTAAAGCATTTCATTCAAATAGATAATCACAAACTTCCACTGGTACTGTTTGTGCCTGAAATTTCTCAGGAATTTTCTCAGTAGAAAGCTCAACTAGGCCAATAAATATAAAATCATCAAGCACAGTTGAATTATGGTTGTTGGACAATCTTCACAGAATTCCAAATGAGATAAGGTAAGGAAACAAGCTTACTTATAGCTACAGGAGAGTCCAGTAAAGAGAAGGCATATCCTTTATGTTGTAGATGACCTGGGATGTATCAGATTTATACTAAATTGGTAATTATTTATTCTCCTTCTCTTTCTTCCCACAGAAACTCCATATCCTTGGTAGAAAGAATGTGCTCTGTGTGTCAGTGAGTGTAAAAGGAAAATCTTATATGTAAATATACCAAGGGAATGGGAAAACTGAGCACGTTCAAGATGTTATTTTTCTGTAATACAGAATTGCATCATGGCCTGATTAAACCAGTCACTCCTACAATGAGGCTAAGCTAATAAAGAAACTCTTGTATTGGTCCAGCATAAGACCAGGTCACCCCTTTCAGTGGGCTTTGAAAATAAAGGTCCTATTTAAATATGAAATGTTATAGGCCTTTTATAAAATGTGTGTATATACTTAATCCTTATTAACTTGGGTAAAGGGTATGAAGGAACTATCTACACAAGCTGGTACTAAAAGATCAATTTTCTACAACTTTAAAAAACAGAACACATAACTACATAAAGTCTACTAATTCATTGTAAGATTTTTCCAAAATTGTCTTGCCTTTGATAAAGTTAGATTAGCTGGCTTCCATTCAAAATCATTATTGTGATCTATGGGAATGTTCAGTGTTCCTCTGGTCATCTTCATTCTGTTATTCTTTTTGATCTTCATGGTGATTTTCTTACGTCTTTCTTATCCCTATCTTCTTTGATTTTTAATGATTATACCTTCTATGATTGCAAAAATAGAGATCATTAGCCATTAACTCTCTAAACATTTTACTCATTCATCTCTAGATTTATGTTTTCCCCTTTCACTTGTTTCTTTTTTGTTCGTCCTAAAGAATACAGTACTTGTCTCTATTACTTTTCCAGAGATAATCTCTTTACTTGAACTCAGAATCATATTTTTTCAGCAATGACAACTCCACTTTTTAACCTCTTTTTTTCCTTGAATTTTAATCTCTATTTTCATTTATCTCAAGTGTCCCAAATTAAAAAAAAAAAAAAAAAACAAGAAACAGTTCGCCTTAAACTTAATTATTCCTCAAGCAATTTTATTCTCTCCCTCATTAACCTTCTCAAAAGATACATGTACTTGCTCAGATCTCAACCATCAATTCACTCCTCAACATAGTGGGTTTTTAATTCCATAACCTGACGAAGAATTCTTCACTCAACTGTCATCCAAAGACCTAGTAATCATAGGTAGTAACTGGTTCTTCTAAGTTCTCTTGGTCCTATGGACTACTATTTCTGCTCTTTGTCCTTGGGCCTAATGGTTGTCTTGTTCCCCTATCCTCATCTGATAAAAGCCAAATCTATTACTTATTACCTGCCGTCATGTTGTCTACTCTCTGTTCTTTGTTCCTCACATCAACATCACCATTTTACTCATTCAGGGTAAAAACTTTAGCAATCCCTTTGATTCTCCTTCCCCAGGTGGCTGCTCCCCAACACACATACATGCACACACTTCTGTAAACCTTGTCCCTCTTGCATCTGGACCAATCTCTTTTCTCTGCTGCCATTTCCTTGATCTAGGTCTTCATCAAATTTATTCTGCTTTGTTTCTGTGAATTGTGACACAAACCACTTCCCTGTGCTAAGATTCCACAATAGAGTGATTGGAATGCATGGAAACAAGAATATAATCAGGGCAAACCTGAGCTAAGAACCTCCATGGCTCTTGGCTCCCATATACTGCATTTGAATCTTTCTCTCTTGCCACATTTTGCTCCCTACACCAAGCAGACTGTCACTCCTTAATTGAGTCATTTTCCATGCCTCATATTTTGCAAATATTGTTCCCTGTCTGTTGTTTTCTGCACTGTTCCCTTGTGCAGAAAATCCCCCTTCTCTTTTCCGTGCTTTTGTAGTGATTTGTAAATACCTCAAGGATGCTATGCTCCAAATTTTATAACAATGACCTAAAATTCCAGACCTCCACTCCCTGCTCCAGACTAGGAACTTTAAATATACCAGAAGTCTCAAGAAGTGTTTTCATTATTGGTGAATGAATAGACAATTATCCTGAATTTCAAACCTATGAAAGTGGGATAAGAATAGCACAGAGATAGGGCCAATGAGAAAAGAAAGTTGTTTGGAAATAAAGAGTGGACAACAATAATACAAATGCTAAAAACTAATAACTAAAAGTAAACACCTAATAATAACTAGAGGTTATAATGAAAAGTAGAACACAACTTCATTTCTAGAATTCCACTTGACCACCTGCAATACTTGGATGATCTATTAGGATACCAAGAATAACACAGGCCCTTAGGGGCCTCATAGAGTCTAATTCCTATAAGATGAATTATAACCCATTATGAGTTTTTGAGATGATGTTTTTAGAAGATGGTGAGTGTACCTGGATGGATGTTGAGATCCAGAAGAGGAAAGTGGAGATCAGTTCTATACATAGAGAAAGCTACCAAATATGACAATGCAGAACATAGCACATAAATAGAACATAAAAGCAAGAATGGAATGTGCTACAAAAATGAGCTGAAAATAGTATAAGATCTGCAGTTTATTTTCCATTGTGTGCCATGTCTTCAGTGATATTCGAGTCTGTCTAATGTTTTATGGGCTTGCCTCTAGTGATTCATCTTTAAAATTTGGCTTAATTTAAGCCACATCTCCAAAACATCTCTAAAGTAATCTGACAAACCAGTGTTAGCCTCTATATACACATCACTTGAGATACATTCACAGGGATTTTCTGACTTTAAAGTCTTTCAAAATATTAGAAAGTACTCATTGTGGCAGGGCAGCTAAAAGCCAGGTCCTACATAAATATAAGCTGATGTTTAAATGTAAGTGCCCATTAAAAATGCAATTCTCACTTTTCCCAATGTTTTTCTGGGAAAATAAATGTGTCTTATCAAGAATGACAGAGTACTCAACTTGAATCTACCATTCATTTTCAGTTTGCATGATTTTGCTCATTCTTCCTGTTTTAGAGAAAAGTGATGCAGTTGAACAAACTCTTTGGTATTATTACATCATCAACTGTGGAAGTAAATTGGGTTGATTTCTTCATTCCTGCCCCTTCCTGTACTCACATATCACTGGCAATGGAGGAGTTCCGGGACATAGACTTTGGAGAGAGGTCATAATCGCTGTCGGATCGATACAGGAAGGACTCCCGGCGTTGACTGTGGACAAAATTTGCTTGGAGAATTAGCCCAGACCCTGGGCTGGTCATGGGATCCAAGGGACTCCGTCCCGCAGATGTGCCATTGTCCACATCAAAACTGTGAATGAAAGAAAAGGAATTATGTTGTGGTAAACACTCACATGTTGATATTTTACCAAAACATTTAGCTTCAATTTAGGAATTTAGCATGGGAAAATTTATAGTTGCTTCCTGCTTGTGAAAAATGATAATATTAAAATAAATAAAAGTAAACATAAATAAGAAACGTGCACACACACAAACACACCCCCACACACCCCCACTGGCTTCACGTTCTGATTTTCTAACTTTTGATCAGACACAAAAGACAGATCATTCTAAACTCAATTTCAGCTAAAAAGAAACAATTATTTAAAAACAGCTCTTCTAATGCAGAATCAAAATTATTTGTTGAAAAGAGCAAATACATAAAAATTCACTAAACCTTTGAGTTCAACTCAACAAGTGCCAGTTATATGCCTATTATTATTATTCCTCCAAACCTGAGCTTCTTTCGCTACCCAATATACATATCCAGCCACTGTTTTCCATTATATCCCCTATCCTTCCATTCCTAATTTATTATAGGCATTTTAAATCCAGTATTCAACTCCCACCTACATTATTATAAGAGCATTTCTCTTGGTCTCCTGAACTCATCTTCCAATCTGTACCAAGTGTGACTCTTCTTAAAATGCAACCACACCCTTCTTCTGTTTAAAACCATTCAATAATTCACTATTACCTTGAAGTTGAAGCCCAAACTTCTTTACTAGACTACAAGTCTTCACTGCCTGCTCTCAGTTGCAATTACTTATCTTCACAACCTCAACTGGCAACCCTCTGTGTCAAGTGTATTCTGCACTCATTGGAGCAGCACATCCTAGGCCAGGCCAGCCCTGCCTGGCTTCTGCTTTTTCCTGCCTAACGGTTGCTCCTCCTTAAGGACTCAGACTTTAACCTCAGCTTGATACCTCAGAAATTCATGAGATGCTCTTCTCTATGATCTCAAGACACTTCTCCATTCGTAATGACAGAATTTACAGTGAACTGAGTATATTTACCATCTGATCTCCATTCCTAGACAGTGAGCTTTCTGAAGATGGAGACTCAGGATATTCTTAGAGCTTCACAGGGCACTGTTAGGTAGAGGTGAGTAGGGTGAAATGACAATGAAGTGTAACTAAAAAGCCCAGGGAGCATTTTCTGAAAGGATAGGAACCTGGCCATACAGACCTGGTATGTCAAAACCTCCCCCAGCCTTAACAAATGACACCCTTTTAAGAAAAAACAAGAGCTTCTGGACCATGTCATCATTATCTCTTGTAACCATGTCTCCAGTCCCCTCTCTTATCACCGAAACTATGTCACAACCCCACTCACCCCGATAGCCAAAGCAGCAAGACACTCAAAGTAAACTTAGTGGGGACTTTTCAAAAGGTAGTATGACCAATTAAGGGGGCAGGAAACAGAGACAAAAACCTATGGACAATATTTCCTTAAAAACTCAAACTCTGTGAGTACCATAGCATCCTCTCTGCAGGAGTTCCACACAGGTCCTATGCTGTACAGTGTCCTCACTTCTCAGTCTCTTTGGTAAACTTTTGCTTGCTACTCTGTGTTTTACTGGAATTGTTTCCAGCAATATTAAAAGGACTGTAGTGGCTGTCCATCTCCACATGGCAGGCCCCAGACCTGTAACAGCACTTCAAATATTGCCCTTTAATGGGCTGAGAGTGTAGCTCAGTTGTAGAGCTCAGCCTAGTTTGTATGAGGCCCCAAGTTCAAAACTCAGCACCACAAAACAGAAGAATGAAACAACACCTAAGTGGTTTGAATGAATGATTGGTGCCATGTTTAATAATATCAATTTTTAGAGTTGGAGGGAAAAAGAACCATACATACACATATTTTTTAAAATTATAAAACTCATAAGCTGTATGCACTTTCCACAAAGAGCTTTTCTAAGTGAAATATCAAGAAGTATCAAAATGAAGTCAACTCTTGTATGTTTATAAGATAACTAGAGATAATCCAGGAGGCGTGTGATTAAAAAAAAACTGTTAATGAATAAGTGAAGTTTATTATATGATAAATAAGTACATGCATTTAGGTTTAGATGTCATCAACATTTCCCCCAAGAGTGTTATCCAAACTAGTAAGCAGTGAATTTTAAAATGTTCTTTGTTTTCTTCATTGGAGTTATTAATAGTGTTATGACCCAAAGACTTGAAGCCAAACCTGAAGAATAAAGTAGGGGTTAGATATTTCATGGATCACCTGCAAATCTACGACAAAAGAATGCTGCTTCCAAATCAACCTGTCAAGTAGAAGACGTGGAAAAAAAATTCACAGTGTAGCTTAACCAATCAAAAATATGTTTTCCAACTTAAAATTTTCTTATGAATGTGTCTCCTTATAAATGTATTATTTTTTTTGGTCCCTCAGACAATAAGAATTATCTAGTTGAACAGAGTCATTTTATAGACAAGGATACCAGGTCCTAAAATAGTTATTTTCAAGTTACTGAGCTAACCGGATTTAATCATCTATCATTCCTGATATTCCTTCAGCTCCATTGTATAATTACATACACCACAACTATGTATCAGTGACTGTGATATCAAAAAAGGGACATCTGATTCACTTGGATAGGCTAGGCACTGGTATATGTGATATGGCAACCTCAAGGAAAGCCAGAGTGGAACAGGGTCTCTAATCCTTGAATTCAAGCCATATTAGGAGATCTCAGGCAAGCTCTTCCCCAATGTGTGTAATTAAATAAGCAGTTAGTGAACACCAACCATGAGCACTTGGAGACACAGAAATGAAGGTAGGAAGGTTAATTCACTGGGATATCTATCTGAGATATCTCCAAAAATGAGTGATATATAAAGAGGGCTTTTGAAGGCATGCAATATATAGTTGGAAGATGTTAAAGACTTTTGAACAGGGAGAGGAGAGGCGTGCACTTCCCTCCTATAAAGATGCATAGGTAGTTCATGCTGAAACCTGAGGACCTAAGAATGAGCGCTCAATGAAAGCTGTGTGCGCTGATTTCCCATTAGCATTAAGATGATCCGTCTGCTATAAAAACTAAAAGGAAACACAATCTCTTCATTCTGCATGAATGGAAGTATAGGAGATATAGGAGGATAATTTTGGTTTAGTTTTTCTCAATTCACCTGAGTAAATACCAAGTAGCCCCCAAATTCTGTAATTTTTAAAATTTTAATATTTTTTCAATTCAATTAAGCAACTAAATTACAAGGACACCCTACTTACATTTGGGCAAAATATTGCTAAATATATTAAAACATTTAACATTTTTGCCATAAAATTACCACTTACCAATTAAAACCAAAATATTTATTAGTAGGGCAGAAAAATGCCTGATAGGAGATATTCTAGGGCATCGGATATTTTTTTGTAGGTTGTAATATAATAATTTGTCCACTAGATGGAGATAATATTCTTTCTGTTTTTTTGGAGGGGGTGTGGTTGGGGGAGATGCAGGATATTGAGATGATTTTCTTGAGTAAGGAAATCCATCTTAAATAAACTTAAAGCTAAATTTCATCTTATTAAAAGATTAATTAAAAACAACCTATTAAATATCATCACAAAATAAAATCTCACAATCTACAGAAATCATATTTATCTGAGAAATATTAGTATTAGCTTAACAGTGAGAATGATCTAAAAATGGTCACAGGTATTATTAGATTCTTACTTTTAAAACTCAAACAGACGTAACTGAATTTTTCTAACAAATCACTAAAAATTTATTATCTTGGGACAAAGTAACATAAGTATCATGAATGCTTTGGAGAATCACTCTATGATAACACAAATTTAGGTGGTAGGACCAGAGTCTGAGGTTATTATCATGGTGAATTTCCATTTAATTAAAGGATCCTATGATTAAAATAAATAATCAAGAAAAAGGAATAGTACTGAGAATCCCTAGTATGAAGCATTATTGAATGTTAGTATTGGTATAAGGACTTTTTAAAAATACCTTTTTAGATGTTGATGGACCTTTATTTTATTCATTTATTTATATGTGGTGCTGAGAATCAAACCCAGTGCCTCACACATGCTAGACAAGTGCTCTACCACTGAGCCACAACCCCAGCCCTATTGTAAGGACTTTTATATTACAAAAGATGCATCAACTTTTGCAGTTTGTCCTACATCCTTAGATTAACAATGGAATAAATACATATATAGAGAACACAACACTTCTCAGCTAGGCAATAAAGTCCAGTTAGCTCAAAAGACATGAGCAATTAGGAAAAAAAAAAAAAACTCAAACATATGGCATCTGTATTAAATAGTATATAAATCATAAAATACTACCATGCATAAATTAGGCAATCAAAATATGATTTAGACAATTAACATAAAGGGAGTTTGATAAGTTAGAGGGTGTACATTTTTCAAGAGCAGGTAGAATTGGGGTGGTGGTGGAGAATATCCCGTCAAAGTGAAGTAGCTAAAGCAAACCAAAAAGGGATGGCTGAGGCATGTGTGTAAAACAGAAAATAGAATGTCTGGCTCCATTTGTGGGTTGGTGTTAAAGAATGGTGGGGACCTATAAAAAAATTGCCATTTTTTGGTTCAATATAATAGGGAGGACTGGGTGTGTTTATGGAAAGTTAGGCTAGGGAGTGTTCGAAGTTTATATAAAGAAATACATGGAAAGACACATGCTAGCTTCTAACACTGATATCTCATAGGAGTGAGATGAAGAAGGCTATTTACTTTTCAGCTGTAAATTTTATATTGTTTAATTTGTTAAGATAAACCTTATTATTTTTGCAGCTAAAGAGAGTATAAAAGAACAGAGTAGAACACCACAAAATAGAAAATAAATAGACCAAAGGGGGAATCACTTGCTTCCCCTAGAAGAAAACACTCCTTTGTTAAATCTTTCAAATATTAGAACTAGCAAGCTTGCTTTTGGAGAGGTCATTTTGGATTAAAATGACTATCAGTAGATAGTCAATTAATTGAGCATTACATTACTTATTATTTGCTTAGCTTTTGGAAAGAGAATCTAATTTAATTGAGAGT